CTTCTTTTTCCTCCTATTCTTCTTCTTCATCCTCTTTCGTTAACCACTACTCTATTTTTTGAGCCAACTTCAAAAATATTTGTTCAACAAATCAAATATTATCATAGCATGTGTTGATCACTGCTGGTAAAAAATAGGCTGGACATAGTCCCAGGATCCCACAATGGGCTTTTATCCTCAATAACTCATTTCCCTACAAACATCCAATGCTTGATCAAAACATTCATTTTGAATTACAAGAAATATCTCTAATTGGCATTTCATCGAGCTTCGACCAAATAACTACACTTGGAATACATAACAATAATCCCATTCCATAGCTTTTTGTCATGACGTTGAAGAAAACTTTGTTCCTCTCATCCAATTCTCATCAAGCTGCATAGGCCCACATCAATTTGATGGCTATAGATGGGTTGAAGCGAAGATGTTGAACATTTAATATCTTGGAATTGAGTTTTTTTTAATGTTCTGATATATGGGTATTAGTCTAGCATCTTACCGCAGAAATCTTCATTGAGAATACTCTATATTTTAGGAGCTTTGGCTGGTTTGTGTTTCACTTACTGATTAGTTTGTTCATTAAAGGCTGACAGATGAGAGGTATAAAGCTGGGGTTATGGAGCTTTAGCAATATATTAACAGTTTAGGGAATCTTGATGTTGTTACTTCGATGACTCTTAAAGATGATACCAAGGTTCGATCACCTGATTCCTCAAGAACTGCCTATGAAGATGAACCAAGACTTATGTTGTTTAGAGAATGGAATTTATTTGATTCAATGTTGTGCTTGTAATACCCCAAATATTAGGTCAAAAAGTGTATTGAACATATTTGAAATTTAATTGAATAAATGGTAAAAGATGAGGAAATGATTTGGAATAGTGTTAGACTAAATTATATCAATAGAGGAATAAAATGGCATTTTGGTCCTTTAAAGGAAAATGAATTTTAAATTCATTTTCTTTAATAGGGTATTAAAGTAAGGGAAAGGGGAAAAGAAGATAACCAAATAGTTATTTCTCTTTTCTTCTTCTTCCTGTGGAACAAGCTCTCCCCCATAGCAAAGGTGAGGTTTTATTTGGATAGTTTATTCTTCCATTTTTGATTGGTTTTTGATGCATTGACTATTATAGAGGGTTAAGGAAAGATAATATAGGAGTAAACCTAAAAGATATATGAAATATGAGAGATTTAAAGAAATGGGTTTTGTAATGATATGTTATGATATGAGTGTTTATTGATGTTTACTAGTAGATTTGACTTGTCAATGAAGTAAAAAAGATATTAGAAGCATTGGATGAGTTTAAAAACAAGTTAGAAAATATGGTGTGATTCTTAGATTCAAGTGAGCTTAAGGGATTTTTGATTTTTAAGAAGCTAAATGAAGGAAAGTTAATAGGGATAAGTAGAGAAGAGTTTAATAGTATTATTGGGGGTAAACATAAGGAAATTTGACCAAATTTGAGTAAGTTTTGGGCTAAAAATGTAAAATATGGGTAATGGTATAGGTACTGATAGAACAATACCGATACTATAGGCTTAAAATTAGTAGAATTCGCTGAGTAGTATCGATACCGATTCAAATGGTATAGATACCAATAGGGGAGTATCGATACTATGAAGATGGTATCAATACCATTGTTAACAGAATGCATAAATGGTATCAGTACCATAATAGGGTATCGACACTATAGTATAGTAGTATTGATACCACGGTAGGGGTATCGATACTATTGAGCCAGAAATGTGAAGATAAGCTAAGATTGTTATAGAAAATATAATAATGTGTACTCTTGAGTAATGTTTAAGTATAATTGTTAGGAAATATACTAACAATTAATATTGTACATGTCTTTGTTGGATGCTTGAGTAGATCGAAATCAAACTCCTGAGTCAAGCAAAACTAAAGGCAAAGTACCTGAGTAATCAACGTTGTGTTTTGGATACTAGCGAGACAATCCATGTGAGTACATTTAGTATGTATGTATATGTTACGGTAGTCATAGATATATGAGTGATTGATATATGTATGGTGATCACATAATGGTACTGATTGTACAAAAATTTAGGAAATTCATAATTTGTTTATAAATTTCCGTATAAGAACTTTATGTGCAAAAACTAAGAAATTATAGGAATTACTTTATTGGTATTGTGGGTGCAACCCACTTAAATTATAGGAATATTGTGGAAATATTGGATTGGCACTATAGAGATAAACCATAGAGTATATAATGATTTGAAAGAGTTAATTGATATTATGAATAATTATTATAGTAGAAATTGTTCTAAAATAAAATATTGATGGCCTAGTTGTGCATTTGAAAGAAAGATGTCAATTATGCCAGTTAGATGAAAGGCTAAGTGCCTTTGAGGCCTAGTTGTGCATTTGACAGAAATGTGGCAATTATGCCAGCTAGATGAAAGACTAAGTGCCTTTGAGGCCTAGTTGTGCATTTGACAGAAAGGTGTCAATTATGCCAGTTAGATGAAAGGCTAAGTGCCTTTGATATCTAGTTGTGCATTTGACAGAAATGTGTCAATTATGCCAGTTAGATGAAAGGCTAAGTGCCTTTGAGGCCTAGTTGTGCATTTGACAGAAATGTGTCAATTATGTCAACTAGATGAAAGGCTAAGTGCCTTTGAGGCCTAGCTGTGCATTTGACAGAAATGTGTCAATTATGCCAGTTAGATGAAAGGCGTGTCACAAATGAAATGTATAATAGTGTATAAAAGGCATGAAAGTATGTCATAAATGAAATGTATAATAGTGTATAAAAAAGGCATGAAAGGATGCCATAAATGAAATGCATATGGGTGCATTATTGGCATGAAAGGATTCCATAAATGAAATGTATGTGGGTGCATTATCGGCATGAAATGGTGCCATAATTGAAATGCATATAGGTGCATTATTGGTATGAAAGAATGCCATAAATGAAAATGTATAATGGTGCATTATAAGTATGAAGGGATGCTCTTAATGAAAATAAAGAAGAATGACTAAAGAGATAAATAAAAGAAAAGAAAAATATAAGGAAAGATAGGTATGCTAGGCATACTAAAAATAATTAAGATAATGGTGAATGAAATACGGTCTAACCGAGGAGGATTATAGGATCCTTAAAGAATATAGGATTTAGTACGAACTAAATAAATATGACATACTTATGTATACATAAGGATTTCTTTACAATATTATTTCTCACTAAGTAAATACTTAACGTGTGTTGCTTCGATGTGTAGGTAAAATAAGAGACAAATCAAATAAGGAGTGCAGCAGTAGCAACAATATCATCCATTAAGGTTGACTCGTCAGTAACTATAAGTCAATCTGGTTTGTTTTGGAAAAATTTAGTTGGCATGTAATTAAAGTAAGAAAAATGCTCTGAATTATAATTAAGTACAACCTCTTATCATATTTCAATTAATGTTTTTCTTTATATTAAAAATGTTATGTTTTAAGGAAATCTGGAGACAAAATTTTACGGGTTTTTAAAGGAAAAACTTTAAAAGTGATGTGACATATGTATTTCGTGTACGGAAAGGTATACGGGATATGGGTGTTACAGTGCTCCTTATACATTGCTCCTAAGTTGAAGACCTGGAGTGATAATGGCATGAAGAAGCTTAAGTTTCTTCTTGCAAGGGTAAGATTAGCACTTATGGATTACCAGAAGAAGTTCTAGTACATGAATCATGAAGTAAAATAGAAGATGAAAGATCAATTTTGAATAAAATTTTCTTGAATACGAACTTAATTATTTCTACTACAAAACTTTCTTGCGTCTACATGGTTATACATCAAGGGTTTCAATAGCATATATGGTATATGGGGTTATTGCACTGCTTGAATCATTCATGCAATCGGGTGGCACGTGTGCTTCGAAGCAGTTTGGGGCAAGCTTTGGAGCAAGAACCTCGTTAAGGCGGTGGGGACTTTTCAGAAGGTTTAGAGGGAAACAGAGAGTTTGTTGCAAGAAGAAAGGGTCGGCGGAGGCGGCGGTGATGTAGCCGATGTTAATGGAAGAGGAATAGGAAGAGGAAGAATGAGAAGAAGAGGATTAACGGAAGAGGAATAAGAAATTTCACGGAGGTAACATGCCACGCCAATCCTAACTAACGGAAGGTAATGGCAGGGATTTTACTGAAATCGAATTAAAAGTTTGATGACAGTATTACAAGTTTTAAAAATTAGGTGACCAAAATGCAAACACACTAAAATTTCAGGAACTATTTATATACTTTATGCTAAAACTAAATATCTAACCCAACCATGAGATGGTCAAGTGGAATATATATGTTTATATTTGTTGATCAGCTTTGGATATAAAAATCTCCAAATATATATATACACACTTAAGAAATTGTAATCTTTTTAATCTAATCTTTGACACATTTTGAGCACTATGAGTTATCATAAAAACTCTCGATTAAGATTGAGAGACGAGATGGACTCACACACATTCATCTTTTTATTTATCTTTTAATCGAGACAAAATATTTTAACAGCAACCAATTATTAATCACTGCTCGTGATTCTCCCCATAAACCAAAAAAAAAAATAAACCATATATTATAGTTGTAATCCAATTATTCCAATCAACGATATTCGAAACAAATAATTATTGAATTTACAACCGAGAAACAACCAGTAGCTTTTGTTAGTCATAAGTTCATACCTTATTATGGCAATCCCATTCCGTCTTAATTCACAGAATGTTACCACTACATTCACATGGGGAACAGTTGTAAAACATCCATTACTTAAGTAACACGGTGAAGCTTCCAAATGGGGACCACGCGGTCAAACCCAAATAAAACATCGGTGGGAAGCTTCAGAATGAGCCAGCTACCGACGAGGGATTACCTGGCATTTCTATATTTGAAATTTTCCCATAATCACCCTCGTCTTCAATCACCCATTTTCAAGATTTTTTTTATGTCCACCAAGTGTATCTCGAATGATATTATATATCAACCAAATTGTGCACTTTATCAAATACAAAGATCATTTTAAGTTTATTGAGCTACTCTCTGACCGGGGAGGGAATGATGGAATGAAATTGGAAATTGGATATCGCAGGGCAAAGTTGAGGCCCAGAGGAAAAAGGAAAATAATATAGTAAATAAAGGAGTAATTAAAAGACACCAATAAAACATATCCGAGTTTTCTTAAATTACGGAAAAATAGTTGTAATAATAATAAATTATAAGAGATGTAGATTCTCAGTTCTCCCTTTTGTAACCCAATATTGGTACAGATCCGACCACTCGACCATTTTAGCCTTTTTGTGACCTCGTAATTACTACACTGCGCTGAGTTAGAGCCATGACAACAATCAGCAGTCTCCGAATTTGTCCCTTCAATCCGACGCCTAATAATCCCACCCGAACCCGTACACTCCGTTTCCTCTTTTGTCCCACCTGATTCACGTGCGTAACTCCTAACCGCCACCCATCCATCCGATTCCCAATACACCACTCCTTCCGTCGCTAATTTACCTATCCTTTCTCTCACCGAACCTTCCAAGTTTCCCGTACTCTCATCCTCTTTGAACTCCGACCTGCTGAAATCGAGCACGCAACGTGGAGATGGTTCCCCGATCGGAGCCGAAGCCGATCTTACGAATGGATGTTGTAACAGCTGATCGCAGCTCCATCTTTGTTTCAGATCCCTTCTCAAACACTTGTCAACGAAATCTTCACCGAGTTCAGATAACAGAGGCGGTAACCGAGGCAATTCATCCGAGTTAGCAATACGAGCCAACGAGCTGAACCCTTGATCTTCCCAAGCTGGATTTCCGGTGAGCATCTCAATGACGGTGCAGCCTAAGGACCAAACGTCACTCTCCAGTCCTTGATACTCGCCGAGTATAACCTCCGGTGCCATCCATAGAGGGCTTCCACGTGGCGTGATCATGGTACTCCTATCCTTGTCCGCCGCGCATTCCTTTACGATTGCCGATCCAAAGTCGGCGAGCTTCACGGTGGTGAAATCGAGACCGACCAAAACATTCTTCCCTTTCACGTCGCAGTGTATGATGCCTTGGTCGTGCACGTACTTCAAAGCCAGCAACAGGCACCGCGTGTGCCACCGCAAAATCCTCTCATCCAGGTCAGCCGACCGTTGTTTAACAACCGCCACGTCAACAAGAGTGCCACCTGACATGTATTCCACGTGAAGATTCCGGTGAGAAGTGGTCACGTCATCGCCGAGAAAATCAACAACGTAAGGAGATGAAAGGGAACGGAGGATCCTGATTTCGTTCTCCAAACACTCCAATTGGCCGGGAAGACACGTCGACAAGTCGACAGACTTAACAGCGAAAACGGTGCCGTCTGACTCATTGATTGCCAAGCTCACAGTACCAAAGGCGCCTTTGCCTAAAAACTTACCCCTGATCCAAGATGCTTTCTCGCAGCTGCTCTGTTTCTCCATGATCTGACTTTTGAAAACTATTTTTTGCTTGTATTTTTCGAGGGCCCAAATGGGTATTTAAAGATGTGTAAGCCAAATGTTTTTATAATTATATTTGATCCCACGTGGAATTTATAAATGGATAATACGAGTCTTTCTTTTTTTTTTCCTTTGTCGTAGAAGGGAGAGTAGGAAGGTGGGGAGGATGATTCATGGGGCAGGGGCAGGGGCCTCGTGGAGATAATCTAAGCCGTTTATCTGAGTTGGGGGATGAGTGGGTGTTTTGTGGTTGGCATTGATTGGTGTAACGAAACATGTGGTTGACATGTCATGGTAATTACTTGGACGATTCTTGGAAGGCAAAAGCTTTGGTAAGCTTATAGAATATTTCCAAAGCCACTCATTTGCTACAACGTGTCCCACGTCTCTCCATCCTTCTCATATATTTACGTCTACAAAATTAGCTTAGGCATCTTATTATTATTATTAATCTTAGATAATATATCTTCGAAATAATTTTAATCATTGGATAATAAATGTTTATACACTTTCCTATATGATATGTTTAAATTCAAATATCGAAAAATAACAATTATTTTTTTAATTAATGAGTTTATTTAGTTCATACAATTTAGACAATTGTTATTTTTTTAAAGGATTCTTTAACACATTAAAAAAACAATTAATTATTATTTTGGGAGATTTTTTAGATCAAGAAAACATAAGTGAACAATAATAATTCGTTTTTTAATATAAAATAAATTAAGTGAATACAAAAAAAAATTAAAATGCATTAATTTTTCTGATTTTTTTCTCTAAAAATGCATGAGTTGGATTTTATAAGTATGTGGATATTGATTGCGTAAGAGTGATCAACCTATCATGAAATGTGTCTTTAGAAGAAGCAAAAAGGTGCACTCGTAATTAAGCACGACATGACCTTGAGGCTGGATGAGTAGGAGATTAATCGAAAAACAATAAAATATTGAATTGATGCCAAGTGGAGACGTAGACGAAGATTTGGGGACATAGACAGTTGTTACAATGCGACATCAGCTCACGCGGCAGCAAACTGTAGGTCCACGTGCGAATACCAATGGACTTGAGGCTGTGAGAGAAATGGGATCCGATCCACAGCTGTCCACGTTGTGTTTGTCGAGTGGCTCTGGCAGTGAGAAAGTTTTGTTGCGTGCACCACCAACCTCCGTTTGATCACTTTATTTTACTCTAAACAACAAAAAGGATATAAAATATAGTTAGAAAAAGGGTGTATATGACAACTCTACGTGTCAGGGAAATATCCATTCAGGATCTTCTGAGAGATTAGTATTTTGCAGGACACCCTTCCACGTACTGAAAGAGTTCCAATTCTTCACTCTCACAATCTTCCTTAAATTCCAAAATTGGACCATTTTTAACCAGGTGGTAGATGCGAGTTTATTTTCATTTAAAATGTCAAGTTGGATAGGAAGCTACAAAGCATACCTACATATTGAACTTGAGGTTAGGTTTGTTTTATTGTAACTGATCTTTTCTAAAAAAATCTTTTAATTATTTATTGTTTGATTATCGGAAAACATATTGATTAATATAATTTATTTGTCTGATTAACATAATTTCCTTGCACTTTTTAGAAAATGATTTACAGAAATTACTTTTCAAAATATAATTTATTTTATATAAATTATTTTCTAGAATCTATTGTCAATGAAACAAACGGACCCTTTTTTTTAAAGTAAAACAAATGGGTCCTAAATTATATGGATTGAGGTCATTTCAACTCGCTCTAAATTTTATTTGTAATAATCTCATACGAAAATTTGTGGGACTAATATATATATATATATATATCCATTTTGAAAAATATTGCTAGACAATTATAGATGGTTGTTGTGTTTGCATTTGAGACTTAGCCAGCAGCCATGCATGTATTGATTATTGATATTACAAAGACTATCCATGATTGATGTCATAGTCCAGGTCAGTGGACCCGAGGATATGCCATGCAATGCTTTGCTAATTATAAAATACAAATAGGCAGCGTAGCAATATTCCCACTATACTCGGCTTAGAAAGGGCCTTGGGATGGGACAAGGTAGAACAATTTCCTTAGTGAAAGAGAAAAGGAAGCAAATTGTAGTCCACTAAGACAAAGGAATGGAAGGTCTAAACCTAATGCTTTAAAAAGGATAGAACATTTCCTTACGGCTTGCAATAATTAGTGGAATTCCGTTGATGTCGTGTTTGTGTTAGAAACTTCCTCTTTCTTTTAAATTAAATGCTAATTGATGAAGGGAAAGCAATGTCTCGTAAAAATGTTTTTCCTCACCGAATCTGAATCCATATCAACATACGTCTTGGGAGTTTCAGATTTTTTAAGTAGGGATGTATTATATTTTCAAGATAAATGTAGAGATTTAAATTCATATAAATATTCTCGAGTGCTCGATCAATTAGTGGATCTATCCCTCTTCCAACTCTTTGTAAGCTATGACGATTATTTGTGAGCGCCTTCTACTTGTACAAAACCACAAAAATCCCTAACGCATAGGTGTATTATTCTTAATTTCTTATAGGCTGGCCAACATCTAAATGCTTTCATTTCCCAAGTTTGTATTGGGGTCAACGGCCATCTCAATCTCATCAACTACCTTTGATCTGATTCAAAATGATCAATGACTACTCTTTGCTAAACCAAACCATGTTCTAGGGCTTTTTTTTAGAATGTAATTAGATGAAAATTAAATGTACTTAGTTAATATCTTTTCTGGTCTTAAGTAATAACAAAAATCGTAGTTTACTACCTCATCTTAATCCTTCATTCTCATTGTCGTTCATCAGTCGTGGTCCGGCCATCAATGGTCACCTTTTCACATTGTATCAGAGCTCTTGTTCCAGTCGTTTCCATTCAGTTCGTCAATTGCCGATAACACATCGATCTCTTCCTCACCGTTTTAGTTTCATCCGACGAGAATCCTTCATTGTTGCATTGTTTATATAGTTAATGTTTCTTCTTTCTCGATACATTGCTTCTATCAGAACATCTGATTCACTTGTCATCGATCTGTTTGTTGTTTTCTTCTTTAATTGATCAACGTCTTCATCTCTAATTCAAATCTCATTATGAATCTGGAGTTTCGTAGTTGTTGAGTTTGAATGATTATTTGATATATGCCAATGAACATAGCTTTGATATGATGTTTGAGTTGAGTTTTTTTATTTATCTGGTTGTTTTGGGATGTTAAATTCATTGAAAGTGCCATGCTGAGAGTTATTTTGCAATTTAATGTTTTTTTACTATTGAATTATACGATAATGTTAGAAATTTGAGATAGTAAAAATAATCAAAGATATATTTATATAAAATAAGACATACAAAAGAGACGAAATTTAATGTGGTTCGACCTTATCTATCTCCACGGGCGAGATGAACAATAATCTATCATAACCGTAGAGAATACAAAGAATACAAATACAAGATGTCATATATATCCCATAACTCGGTATAGATACCAAAACTCGGTATATCTCAAAACACTCTTCCAACATCCTTACAAAATTATCTGCACAACATAAACCCCAAATTACAGAGATCTCAAAGTAGATTACATCTCTCCAAAATAATTCTCTCACGTGAATAAAAATTCTTACCTAAAATAAATATTTACTTCGTTAAATAAAGTCAATTACCAAGAAATCTTCGACCACTAGAATTAAAATAAAATTTAACTTAATTATCAACTATAATTTAGATAAAAAAAATAACAGATAATAATTTTTAAGTTTAAACTCGGACGATGTTGCATTGTGTTATTGTTGTCTGTGTGCTGGCTATTCTTAATGTGCATCATGGTACCCTTGCGCGCTTTGTTTACTTGAATTTACAATCTTCAATGGATATTGAAAGTTGCCGTCTCTGTTAACGATTTGGACCTGTAATTGTTGTTCATGGTGCATAACGAAAAGTTAACTGAGATTTCTTCATTGATTGTTGTTTCTTCTTCAAGATAAACATGAAGTTTGAGCTAAGTGTTTAACATCCTTGCTCTTTGATAAATATGAGGGTGTTTATTTTTATTAAATACAATGTAACGACTTAAATTTCTGAGTTAATATTCTAACTTTGAACCGAGTTATAGATAAATCAATTTGTAGTATGATTAGATTTGTTAGACAAAATTTGAATTAATCAGGTGATACTTAGACCTAATTGACCATAAAAATAGGATTTTTGAGTCGAGATAAATAAGAAAGATGTGATTTACCAGTTATTGAAAAATATGATGAAAATCCATTTTAAGTGTTAACTACTAAAATGATCATTTTCATTTTAGTTTTGTTCACTAGTCATCAATTTGAAAAAAAATATTTATCAATTTATTAAATTTTGATTATTTATATTACATATTGTTATATTTTGATTACTGAGTTATTAATTTTGATTAGTTTTGTGACGCAACACATAAGTAGAAGGAATTATTTTTAATATAACATTTAAACTTTAGATAGAATATTAGTTTAACTGAAATTTAATCTCTAAACTTTCTAAACTCAACCATTTTGGTAATAAACATCGAAATATCCTTCACTTTTGATGCTCGAATATGAAATCTCAAATGACAAATATCCTTCGACTACTGAGATAACTTAATTCGTGTGTAATAAATGCCCAATTTACATTGAAAATAATTATTGAAACATTGTTTCTCTAAAAAAGAATATCCCAATTTACAACTCTAAGGTTAATGAACGTCACAGCTGTCTCTCTCTAAAGACTTCTTCAGCGGTGGGTAGAATAAAAGAATGGTCAATAAATACTGCCTACCAAAATAAACTAATTTCCACCAACTAGCTCTATAAGGCTGATTATTCTTGTAAGATTCTGTTTCCTACGAGTTAATCGGCTGACTACTTGATATAAATTAGGCAATCAAATATAGCTCCCCAGTTGAATCAGCATCACGCTAACATCATCGGACGAGCCTCGTGAAACCGAAAGATCGACGAGCTGTTTACAGGCACCCAATGCATTCTGCTTACTGATGCCTAGACATGAAGGTCGAGCAATGTCAACTGCTTCCTGGTTACTAACCTTATCCCATAAGCCATCAGAAGCTAATATTAAGAACTCGCATCCGGATTCGATGCCGATGATGTTCGTCTCCGGCTCGGATATTACCCACTGCTTAAGGTGCTGGTCTCCAATCCCTCTGGACACAGCAAGACAACCCTGAATTCTCCAAACTCCACGGCACAAGTCCACATAGCCACCCTGCACAAACATATTTCACACATTGCATCAGATCAAGTTCATCCCCAAATGCAATGATGATTGGTTTAAGGAGGAATTGCTTACCGAAGACTGGATTCGGTTCCTTTCATCCTCCCTTGAAGGTCGGTGATCAGAGGTAAGAGGTTCGGCAACACCACCTCTGCTCATAACGGCACGACAATCGCCGGCGTTCGATACGATAAGATTTCCATTCTGGATCAAAGCTGTAACGCAACACGTACCACCGGAGACATCTTCCTTAAGAAACTCAGCATCTGTTTTCATATAACCTTCTTTAACAGCTTCCTTCACTTTGCTTACGTCCCTTCTTCCAACTTCATCTATGATGTTCTTTTCCAACTTTTGGGCTGCAAACTCTGCAGCTTTAGCACCTCCATGACCGTCGAAAACGCCGAAAAACGCCTGCAATCATCGCATAAAACCATGAGTTTCAACAACTTAAAGTTCATTCATAATCAATATTAATAAAACAATCTTTTTCTGCTTGTTCAATAGTTCAACATCCTCCAATTTTAATGGAGCCTAGAAGAATTAACATCCTCTATTCTTTTATGCTAATTTAAGCAGAAAATCACAAGGGATAAAAACCCATAAACCATAAAAGTACCTGTTTTGAATCTCCTTGGAGTTCAACTGAAGCTGAGAATCTATCTTCCATAGCTTCTCTCCTCCCTCTTTTACAATAAACCGAATAACCATCACCTTCTCTCTCCAGATCTCTCGCCACTTCACACGGTGTTGCCGGAACCCCAAAAGAAGTCGTCGCTACCGGTATATCTAGCCTCGCTGGCCTCTTCCTCTTCAAAATCGTAGACACCGATGAAGACGATGGTACTGAATTAGAAGAAGATAACAACGACCCAGATGGCGGTTTTTGAAGCCTAATCCTAAAAGGGGAAGACGGCGAAGGAGACGGAGAAGCAGGGGAAGACGAAGAAGTTTTGAGGTGGGTCAAGGACGAGTTCAAAGCTTCGGGCGAAGGAGAGATGATGGAAGTTTTGGTACAGAAAAGCGATGACGACGGAGAAAACACCGGTGAGTTACAGACGGCAACTGAACACGACATCGCGTTCTCTATACTTGCTTCTTAAGTTTTTCCTTTCTTTGTTCTTTGCTTGTTCAACAACTTTTTAATTTTCTTCCTTTGAGAGATGGGGGTATATATATATATATATACACACACACACAAAGCTTCAAAAAAGGTTTACAGGGAAGGTGTTGGTCTTCGCTTTGCGTGTTACTGGCGGAGTTTTACAGTTTTAGATATTTTGATTGACCACTGACTTTACTTTTGGGGCACTCCCTCTAAGGTGGAAAGTCAAGTTTACCCCTCATCTTTAACTTGATAAGATTTTCCTTTATAAAATGCTTAATAAACAATTTGGCTCCTAAAGTATGGTTTGGTTCCCATTCAAACTCTTAAAAAAAAATTGTTCTAATATGGCCTTAAAGTTTTGATCGTCAACGATTTTGGCCTTTCCATTTGATGCCACAAGAAATGATGTGGCCCTTTTAACCAATTCATAAGTGACACATGGAGTGTCAATTTGAAAATGAAATATACTACAAAGTCCAAATTAGTCCTTCTATTCAATTAGTGATTGACACGTGAAAAGTTAAATAATGAATAAACTATAGTTTAAGGGTCAAACCGAGAAAAAAAAACTTAAAATTATTAAACATTAGGGCAAAGTATATAAATGGTCACTTGACCATATTATTACTTTATTGAGTTCACGACTATTAAAAGTTACAAAATGGTCTCCATGTTCTAAATTCATCTTTTTTCGTTAAAAATTTGACGACAGTATGAGTTAGCTATTAATCTACTGACCAATATATGGTAAAATTTATTTCTATAATCTTAAATGATTATCATATCTCAAACAATAAGTTAACATCTAACTTAGATTGTCTTTAATTTTTTAACGAAAAAGAACGAGTTTAGAATATAATATATAGTTGGGCAACAATTGCGTAACTTTTGATAGTTATAGACTTAACAAAACAACAACCTATAATCGAGAATCATTTATGTACTTCACCCTAAACATTAACTTTTTTCCCTAATGATTTTCTTTATCATCACCGCCGTCTTCATATTTCAATCAAATAACTAGATTTAGGGACCAATGTTTCGATATCTCAAAAATAAATTTTAATTTGTAATTTTGAGATATATTTTTTCCAAAAATCTAATGATAATTTAGGGTTGAAGAGTTGATCACGTTAAATTTAATATAAAAATCGAATCAAAAAGTAATCAAAATATGATGTATGAAGCATTTTGGAACTCATCGAAATCTAGATATTTTTGCATATATTTTTATGTGTTTTTCCTCTCAATTTAAACTTTAAATTAGAATTATTCGTAATATAACCCTTAATTTAAACAATTAAGATATGTTAAAGATAAGGAATTAAGAATACAAAATGAACTGCGGTAGTTTGTGGAGAGAAAAAGCAATGATCAAATAATCACCTTGAATAGACATCCTTTAATAGGCAAGAGAAATAAAAAAAATAGAAATTCGAAGGTTTGAATAGTTCATGTTCTTAGCATTTTAATTAATTTATCTCGTTGATTAAATAAATCGTGTTAATTTATTTTAGTGGTTAAAAAATTATTATTATTTTTAAAGATTACAATTTGAACACAAATAATTATAATAATGTGATTGAATATTTATTATTAAATGAATAAAGATATTTATAAGATATATTATTTTATAATTATTTTAATGATTCTAAATATGTTAATTAAAGATTGAAAAATTAGGTGGTAGGCAAAAGAGTAAATGAAGCTATGGGGATGGGACCGAGTAGCCGACCAAAGAGGGTGGGGATTAAAAGGTCAAACACGTAAGTAGCTGTAACCATACGTACAGCTTTAAACGGTATGTTTAAGTTTGACTGGCTTTCTCCTCCACTCAACTCAATCCACGACAATGCTTCCACCTTAGGTAAGAAGATTCGAATGAACGTGGGTCCCCCCTCCGCTCCATACATTAATTTCCCTCCTTCATCAAGTTTATCATTGCCCTTGACAGACTGACACTCGCTTCACCATTATACGACCGTTGCACCCCTCAATTCAACACTCCTATTCACATCATCAATTCCCTAATTAATTACTTATTTCCCTTCAACAATTCCATAATAATTCACTTTTTTTTTATGCTCAATGATTCATTTGACTCCCAACGTTTATATTTTTTATCATTCTAATATCTAACATGTTTTATCGACAGTCTCTCATTTTTCTCTCATGGTAGTGAAATTTCACTCTTATATGTTTAATTTGGTAGTTTCGTTATTTTCAAAAGTATGTTTAACTCGTAAATAAATATTTGTGTAAGCTATATGATATATTATGTTGCGTGTATTAAGCATGTTTATTGTTTACTTTATTTCTCGATATTTTAAAACGTGTGATTAAAAACTAATATATGTTTTTGAATCACTTTAGTGGTTAATGTAACATTTGATATTCGGGTCTTCCGTCATGATCAAATATTGAGTGTTACAAAAGGATTATAAATTCAGAAATTTCAGTTTATTGAGAATACAAAATATTATGATATAAATTGAGTAATCGATAATGTAGTAATAAAATATTACTAATGTGTATGTATTTGTTTTAAATATTTTTTTAAAATGTAGGGAAAATATGCTTTACTAAATTTACTTTGAGAGTTTGAACTGAGATCTCCTAACTTAGCTAAGTAAAAATGAATGATTCTGAAATCTATTTGTAGAGATTTTAATGAGAAAGTCATGCACTCTTTCATGTTGTTACAAGACTTGTAAACTATCAAATGTGCAGTATAACACTCAATCCTATAAAAGAAGGCACACATCTTTGAAACAAAGATAAATCATCCACTTTGTTTTACGGAAGGACTTAGGAAAACCTAATTATTCCACAAACCAAAGGGTTTAATAGGAATTGGATCTGGATGAGTCTAAAGTCCATTGGATGAGGAATTTATGGTAGATACTCAACTTAGTCAAACGAATTCATGGAAAGACTCATAATGCATATTTTGGGTTATCTTAATGAGAAGAACTTGATGAATTTACTAACGTAAAGGTTGAATAACTACTCTTAATGAATTCATATTTAAAATTGTTTGGAAATCTTAGTGAGAGGAAAATTGACGAATTCATCAATTTAGAACTATAGTTCATATTTCATTATTTGAGTGATCTTAATGAGAAGGACTTGATGAATTTACTAACATAAATGTTGAATAATTACTCTTAATGAATTTATTTCTCAAATTGTTTGGACGGTCCTAGTGAGAGAAAATCGAAGAATTCATCGATTTTGAACTATAGTTTACATCTCATTATTTGGGTGGTCCTATTGAGAAAGGCTTAATAAACTTAATATTGAGTTATTATTCTTAATGAATTAATATCTCAAAGGTTGAGTGGTTCTTAGTAAAATAACTGATGAATTCACCTTATCAGTTAGCAAGATAAGCTTATAGAAAAGTCTAATGATGTCATATTTATGATTCGAGCGGTTTATGTTGAGATAGATTTGATGAAATCATTTACGTAAGTGTAAAGAATTAATCACCTTTTATTGAGTCATCTTTTTAAAGCACTTACCAACATTTTGAGGAATTCTTGCTATTTTATTTTTTTACAGATTTCGATGGATGATAAAATCATTCTTGTGTTATGAGTTAACTCCAATCATAACACGATACACATTTATTCACTTGTTTAAGAGAAGAATCACTCATTTCACTATATATTAGTTTTAAATACGTTCACTAGTACTTAAGCAACTAATTTTGTTATTGCTCTTCTCATGTCTTCAAAAAGATTTTTTTAAATCCTTAGGCATTTGTGTTGAAATGTTAGAAATGAGAATGGTTGAGTTAATAATGTATTTCTTTCGGAGAAAAATTAAAAATGGTTTTCACTAAAAATTTCAAATTCATTTGATAAAAGGGTAAATTATATCAGTGACTACCTAACTATAGTCACTTTTTTATTTTGAAAACTTTTTTTTAAATTTTTGTCAATCAGGTTACCAAACTTTTTAATGCATTCAATCAGACCACTTATCGTTAATATTTAACGAAAGCGCTGACGTGACAATGATTAAAATTAGTATAATTGCACATTCGATCCTCAATATTTATATATTCTATTAATTTGGTTATAATTTTAATTTAATTTAATATAAATTAATCTCCAATTAGATGGTGACACGTGTCACTATATGATTGAAAGATATTTTATTAATTTTAATTATTTAATTTATTCTATGTCCAATTAGGTGGTGACACGTGTTGCACCTTTTTTTATGCAAAACATTATTACTATCTAATTTGCAGCTGAAGGGGATCAAACCAGTGACCCCAATGTCCCCTGGGCACGCCAATGCCATTATGCAGTATGCTAAGCCACCCAAATTGTTATGTTTTACAACATTTTGTATATAATGTGTTATTACTAATGGCAAAGGAAAAAAGAAACTTACCTAAAGGGTTTTACATTTGGGAATTAAAGAGATTGCAAGCACCTTAATCATTAAATCATATATATATATTAAATTTTTAAATAAAAATAAAACTTTAGATTTTTATATAATTTCTTTGTATACAATCATTAAATTATTTTTGAATATAATTCATAATTTTAATTTTATTTAATGATTATATAAAAAAATTAAATATATAAAAATTATTAATTGTGTTAAAAAAATTAAAATTATACTTTGATTATATAAAAAATAAATATAGTTTAAAATCAGAATTCAAACTTTGATTAAACTAATTTTAAAATAATAATTTAATTTTAAGTTATTTAATTTTTTTATTTCAAATATTATATTTACTATATTTTAAAATATATGAAATGTACATATTTATAAATCATTAATTAAATTTGTTTAAATTTTTTGGTACTTATATTTTCTCTAAAAAATCAAAGTTAGATTTATTTTATTGCTTTTAATATAATACAAAATAAATATATATTGTAAGATGTAGACCAAGTATTATTGTTGATTCAATGGTAGAAGAATGCTCAAATGCTTTGCAGATCCAAGATTGATCCCCTGTGGGGACATGTGCCCATCTGATTAGAAACAAAATAAAATAATTAAT